ATATTGTTTACTGACTTTGCATTTTGCGGGGTGGAGAGGGTTAAAAGAATATAATCGAAACAAACGCAACCGAACTGATGCGAAGCTTTTGTATAATACAATATAATATAAAATATGTAAATCTAATAGGATTTATAAATATCATAATCGTTGAATTTTCAATAAAATAATATATTATAGACAAGCATTTTTCTTTKATTTTGAGTTTGTTCCCGCGACACTTCTATGATAATAGATACCTAGCTATATTATTGTACCATATATTATAATAACCAATGTATCACGACGGCATAATAATTGGTAGAATCGTTGTAAATACCTMAGAAAAATATTTACCAAGCCATACACGTAATTACGTAATTTTCTACCGCATAAATTTGGTACATTTTAAGGGGGTTCTTGGAGATTGAAATTTTCATGCATTAAGCTTTAAGATAAGCTAGAGAAAAATAAACATGCTTCTCTAATAATGTAATTTGAATTTTRAAAAATAATTGTATTAATCGACACATTTTCTACGCTAAATTTCCTTTAAGAATTCGATTTGTATATGTATAATATTATGAAGGGCTCCAAATAATATCTCTTCGTAATATAAAATTAAAAAAGTACAAAAGCATTATTCAAKAATGTAAAAAAATAATGAATAATTAGTAAAAATAATAATAAATTATATTGGAGGAGTGCGTGTATTTATTTTGTTTTAAATGATATTTTTTACTGGCTTTAAAGTGAGTAAAAAAAAAATTATATAATGATAATTTTAATTTGAGTTTTCAAAATAATAAGTGTCTTATGTCAAACAAAATYACCTGCATATACCTATATGAGATATTATATGATATCTTCTGTGCGTGTAATCCARTATAACTRTTATGACAATTATATTCCTATTTATCGACCATTTAAAAACAACTGACAGTTAACAGTCTTTTATATTTTTAAGCCACATTAATAACCATTTTAAGCACTCTGCCATTCCCAGCGTACGACGTTACGGAGAGTTTAAATATTTTTTCAAAATTAAAATCACGYGCGTTATGATTTATTTTTGGAATTAAAACAAGTGGTGATTTTGACTAAAAATACATTATGCCGTACATAACYGAGATAAAAAAATGTAAATTATTTATTTTTCTATTTTTATGTGTCAAAATGAAGTACCTGTTTATTATATAAATATTATTATTTATTATTTAGCGATGGTGCATCTTGTATAACACTGWTAAAAATCCCGTGTGTTAAAAAATCAGGACTTTGACTATTTAATATATTTTTAGGACCTATATTAAACCAAGACATTAATTATAACTTATACAAGGGAAATCATACTTACGTGTTAATGTATTGTTTAGAGGACAAATCTATAGTTTTGTGGTGTAAGCGTTATTTAAACGACATGACGTCTATAAATTCCATTGAAATATTATAATTATTATTATTACAAAAAACGATAATTATTCTAGATATTTTTTTTTTTGTGTTTTTGAAGTGTTATTATAATATTTCAATTTGAAATAACCATATGACTTCATAAGTTGATATCAATAATGGATTGTTATTCAAATTGCTAATTGTTATAAGTGAAATGTACATATAATTAAAATTGTAATCTGATGAAAAGTATGATATTGTATTTCGATAACGACTGTGCCATGAGACATTTTCTGAAAATATTTTAAAATATGTAAAATTAATTTATAAATTTAATATAAACTATAATCAAGATAATATGTTCTCTGCGCCATCGTTATCTTTCTAAATTATCACCACTGTCGACTATTATATTATTTTGCAGTTACAAATTCAATGTCGGTTACATGGTTGTAATTTGTKGTTATAACTGTATGTGAAGAGTACTGAAAACTCTATGTGAAGGCATAGAACATGTATTACCTAGGTATAAACTTACTATAAAGCACTTTTCGATAATATTCGACCTGTCTAGTATCTAAAACACTTTAGTGGCCAAAATACCATAAATTAACCGGGTTCATAGTTGTACCTTCAAGRGTTATTCAAGAGTTATTGTTATACATCAGATAATCTCCTGCCTTTTAGATACATACGAATATTGTTTTATGTTACAATATTCATAGGTAATATTTTGTCTGTGGACTTTTACTGAGAATTTTCATAATATAAAAAAAGAACCAAAAACATACTCTGACAATATGAATGACGATGCAGTAACTTAAGATCCGTGGTCGTTTTGTTGAAAATAATTCATGCAAAATATTATAATCGTTCTCGTTTGCTAAATATATATAACATCGCAAACACACCACCCGAAAGAGAATAGTATTTTTATGATATCTGATAGAATCTGCTATTAATTACAGAGTAATAATATTGTTCTACAAATTCCGAACGGCTAAGCGAAAAATTTGAAGTCAAACTTTAAAAACGTATCATCACTTTTTGCAACCAACTGATCATTGTTAGTTTTTACAATATTATATTCGGTGGCGATTTTTTTGACGTAACTAATTTTTGAAGGATCGATGCAAAATGATACAAATTGGTGGAAGTTTCAAAAGTGAAACTTTAAGGAACTCGAATAATGAAACTACTAAACTTGTACAAGGCACACCTTCCAGTATTCTCGTTTTCACGTATTTGTTAATTAGTACCTTTGTAAGGAAGATATTCAATTTGATACTCATTTATTCACATGTAATACTAGTGAATGAACAAAATTTTGGTTTAAATTTATTTTACGATGATAGATGTTTTTATTTTTTTTTGTCTGCTCGACTTCGATGGAAGTTTCTGATTGGAAATTAGTTTGTACTTTGAGGAGGTCGAAATTTAAAATTCTCAGTGATTTTTAAAATAATTGTTTGGCGACCGTTATTGTCACCAAAAAGTAAATCCATTTTCGCTCAAAATAGGTTTTTTTTAAATCGAATTTTTGAATTCAAATTTAACACATTCATTACAGTGTATACTCAATTGCAACGTACACTTGAAATCTACACTGTATAGAAAAGCGGTTGTTTACTTTAATACTTTATTATATTTTAAACGTAGGTAGTATATTTCGTAAGATCGGCAACCATTTTGACATTTTTTAGTTATAGTTTTTAAAATAGTAATTCTAGTTAAATCTATTACTTTTTTGTACCAAACGCATGTACCTATCTAATATTTAAATTATTTCAAAAATTATGCTGCCTAATTTATTGAATTGCTCGGTTTCTTTTATTTTTTGGGGAATTTTGGGTGCATTCAATTCTAAGCCCTGCAACAAATAATATCATAATATTATATATATTACTAGCTGAACCCGTGCACTTCATAGCCCGTTAAAAATTCTACCTCTTATATGTCTCAAACTGGGTGTTAAATTCGTTTTCTGTGATTATGCTAGRTAGCAGTATATTTTTATACATATAGATAGATAACGGTTAAAATATACTWATTAAATAGTAATAATCTTACAACGATATTCAATTTAGTTTATCATTATGTAATTTTATTCATTTTATCGAGTCTGACAATTAAAATATTAAATTAAATGATATTTGGGTCAATCATTTTTTAACTTAGCCTATCTTTTGCCCATAGGTCTAATATATCTCTGTACCAAATTCGTTACAATCTGTCTAGCAATTGAAATGAGAATGTATAAAGGACAAACAGACATACATAAATTCATTTTTATATATTTTATACTATCTGACCCGACAAACGGTGATTTGCCATTATAAATTATTTTTAATTAATAAATTGGTAGTCAAACAAAAAATAACTAAATTATTATAATTGTGTGTTGATGTGTTTTACTGGTATATGACTGAAAAAGGAATGGAGCACTTAAAACAATAACAAAACACCAAATATTCATTTTTTGAATTTATTGTACTTTTATTACCTCAACTAATAAATGTCGAATTAAATCTCTATCACACATTACGAAAGTTAAAAAAATACTATCAGAYTCTTAGTGCAATGAAGTGTACGATATTTTTAGTGAGTCCATCATTAGCCAACACATACGAAAATTCGTACTGTCAGATTGAATTTGTTCGTCTTTTCTTTGCCCTTTTACATTTATCATGTTCGAAGCTACATTTGTTATATGGCGAAAATTGGCACTCAGATGCCTTGCTGGCATTTTTAATAACACAAACAAATTAATACATTCAAATAAAAAAAAATAATAATAAAAAATATTCCAGAATCCTAAGATCCATAGCAACCATTCATAAAAAAAAATGTCTATCGTAAATCTATAATTGACCCCGTGAACTTTTTCCTTAAAATATGACAAYTTTACTAAAAATTGTAATTGTTAAAAATCCTTTTGGATGTAACTCGTAGCGGTAAGTGCGATTCAGCCACCCTGGTAGGAAATCCGTAGATTAGCGGATGTTAGTATAACTCAGCATATTTTAAAATACTAATTTTTACTAATTATTTCTCCTATAATAAATAGTAAACATTTTCAACCAACAGTGACCAATAATTATTATTGTAATAGCTTTGAATCCCATGTCAACTATTTATAAGCAACAATTTCTATCTTAAATCTCAAAATTCTTGTTTGAGTACCTCCCGGGGATGATCAATTCCATTTTTTAATTAGCTTAAAATGTATTCACAGACCTACCAAATATGTACGAAAAATTTGATGAAAATCGGTCGAGCCGTTTCGGAGTTCAATAACTAATACTGTGACACAACATTTGTATATATTAAATATCAAAGTATATTATACGTTTACAGTTCATTTAATTATGGCAAATCTCGATATCTCGAATTTTTTGTATCTTGAACTCAATTGAAATCTTCTTCCAATAATAATGAAAATTACAATAAAACTCGATGTCTTGAACTTTTTTTATACCTCCTTCTTGAATTTTTACATAACAAGAGTTTACCGTATAATTACGTTTACAAGCAAACCACCCAGAGTAATAATATTTAWATTCAGATATACCATTTGAATACTTGACCCTTATTTGATCTAATATATGATTATTTGTGTGTTTCAGGTGATCAGCTACGATTCGGTTCGTGGTGGTGTGAGCGTGGTCACAGAAAAAGGAGACGTGACGGTCAGTTACCTACTCATACAAGATGCAGTGCAAGCGGATTCTGGCAAGTACACGTGCAACCCGTCGAACGCGGACTTATCCAGCGTAGTCGTTCACGTCCTAAACGGTAAGTGTATAAACACGATTAGTATAAATAATAAAAATATGTGCATTCAGTATTGTGCAGTTTTAATACGAGTAAAAAAAAAAAAAGTAATACGTGGATTCTGACGAGATTATCGAATAACTAGCATTTATCGCTTARGATCGCTTTGTAAAAAATAATTTAATCGGTAATTTTAATTTGTGAAATTTAAAGTTCATTATATAACCGAAGTAACTCAACAACTATAAAAAATATATTTGAATACTTTGATATTGTTACGTTTTACTGCTAAACTTTAAACTTCTATATATTCGTGCCAAATTATACTTATCATGAGTATGTCAACCTGTTTTAATAAACAATTCCATTAATTTTAATCGAACAAACGTGACCTTTTTATATCAAGGATAGAATTATTGTATTTAAGTTCATTGTTTTTGTTATCAGTTTTGTTTGCATAAAACGTTGTGTCATTATTACTAACTATATTAAGACGTATTCGTATTAACAAGAGTAATTTTGAATAACTAACGATAAATTATTTGTACGCTTCTAGCTTTCTTGACATTTATTATTTGTTTATTATTGTTTCATAATATTATAATGGACATTTTTTTTCTCATTTTCTCTTACAGGCGAGAGTCCTGCRGCCATGCAGACCGGATCAGCCGGCTTATCTAACAGTTCCATCACGATACTTTGCGTGATGATCTTAAGCTGGACGTTTACCAGGACCGACGATCAGCTGAGATAATAGACGCGCGCCCGCCACCGGTTTCCGCTTCTTTTCAGCTACCATTATACTTTGATAATATAAACTGTATCATCGTTATATAACATTTACATTTAATTACACGCCATAATGATAAGAAACTTTTAAAAAAATTTCTAAAAATATATAAAAAAAAAAAAAAGGAAACAACGCGAGAACGCGAGAACGCGAGAACGAGAAAAAATCATCGGAAGTGATGTATATTCTCTCATTTCGAGTAACCAAGCAAATACCGCGGTCCGATATTGAATCACATATGCGTCATAATAACATCGGATTTATTCCGCTATGATATAATTTTAATAATATTCAATTTTATGACTTTAGCGATAGACCGCCATGTGTCGGAAAAACGGGCTCGTGTTATTTCCCTTCTTTTTATTCCAGAAAAGAGTGTGTAAATAATAAATATTATGACTATAATAATTATTATTATATACGTTGTACAGAATTCTGAATTTTTCTATGTACCCACACTCCGTCGTCGCCAATCGCACGTTCAGTKTGTGGATATAATAATAATAATATTATTCTACAATATACYTATTCATATTATATTATTATTGTTATTGTTAAACGATAGATGTTGCTTACACGAGTGGCAAGCTGGGGTTTGTTTCCGCGAAAACGACATCGTTGTCAAACTTAACAGTGAAAAACTCGTGTTTTTGTTTTGTTTATTTTTACGAATTGTTACTCTGTACATAATATATAATATATATATATAATCTCCAAGTTCTCGTAAAATAATTTGCACATCCCCGTTTACGTCGCGTACTCCTTGTGTTATCGCGTCCCCGTTAATAGATTAGTAGTAATTATATAATATCCGGTCGTTTTGCATAAAAAAAAATATTTATTTTTATTTCTTTGTACGTGTTGTATTGCCGRATAAACATGTCCGGGCGGAAACATTATCTCATATCCATACCACAAAAACGAACGAAAATCGAAAAGAGATAATCGCACCCGTTTCAGTTTACCCATACAGGTACATGGTATATTATATGAAGCTTCACAGCAAGTAATGTTGTTATAAAAATTGTGAGCGATTGACGATTCCTGTAAACAAGGGGTGTCTTTCGGATGAGGGGACGGGGCAGACTTCCGTATTCGTGTTTGAAATGCTATACGATATCATACAAACCTAGTATTCCCGCGAAGTCTATAACCTATCCGGGGTAYGATCGCCTGAAAACTTTGATGTCCCATAACTGGCAATTTTTAAATCATATCATATAACAATATTTTAAGCTGAATAAATAATTTTAGAACATTCGATTAACGATGTTGAAAAAGTTAAACGCACATCATATACAACAGATGTAGGTGAAAGAAACCTTGAACTAGAGAGAGGGTTGAGAGAGAAAGAGAGAAAGAGAGAGAGAGAGAGAGAGAGAGAGATTAAGATAAAAGAATGGGAACATTATAGTATAATAATATGAATATGAATATGAATACATCGTAATTTCGTATACAATATGATTCAAAAATACTTTATATTAATTATTATCATTTATCACTGTACCGGCATATTATACAACACAGTCACGACGATGATGTAAATAGTACGTCCCGTCGAATTTTCCGATATTCTTTCCATCTAAATTTATTTCCAACGCATTTTCCACGATGCGTGAGCCTACACCAAATTACACACCGGACAATGGTGATGTTAAAATAATAATAATAACAATTATTATTATTATTGTTGTTGTTGTTGCTTGTTTGCGCGCGTACGGATTACGTTACGGTCGGGACATTTTATACAATGTATAATGATGTATACACATAAAGGCTGGTGAAACATGRCCGGAGAAAAGGGTAAAAAATTAACCATTCGTGACGGTTCAAAATCGATAAATTAACTATATTGCGTAATACATTTATTAATATTATATTACWATATGCGCACCGGTGTGGATGGGATTCGAAACGTGTGTAACGTATATTATTATTATATCATGAGGATGTATACTTTACGAGATATATACGAAATAACAAAATTATTATTATAATAAGTTTTCGTTTAGTTGTTAACAGTCATATTAATATGATGATAAAAAATGAAATTGATTACGCGATACACGATAACTGAAAAAACAAATATATTACAGTTTATTTACTACCATGGCACACCCGTTTTTTTAGACGCAMAGCCCGAGCCYTATRCGAACCACCGTTGCCTAAACTTTGGTAAAAAAAAAACCGTTTTGAAACAGGCACGTTTAGTCGACGTCATTATTCTATAGGTACATAATATTATATTATAATAAATTATATGTAGATTGTGAACAGCTGGTATTTATAGTACTTTTTTTCCTCAAATCKCGTTTACGTGTTTATTAAACATTATGCATAGTTAGATCGATTCGCTTTATCTCTAATCACTGTTGTTTTAAAATATATAAAAACTTATTTCGTGGCACGAGTTTTGTGCAGTGTATAATAATATTATGATAATAATATGATTGTGTCTGCGTAGATATACACTTCTTAATTCTTATCTATAACTCATATTACACCTTGATAAAATAATGAGCTCTGCACTGTTGTTATTTTAAATATTTATAAATTCAAGTTGGTAACTTCATTTTTTGTCTATAGATTTTTAGCATTCTAGGCTAATACAAAAGTACTTTTTTCACAACTCGATTAATATATTCAAGTTTGTATTATATAAGATACATAAATAAATAAATAATTAAAAATTATATTCATTAAAAAAAAAAAAAACTAAAAAAATTTCAAAGGGAAAACTCCCAAGTAAATCCTTTTAATAATGAATATACATTTATACATGTTAATTTATTACATTTGTATGCCAAAATCGCTCTTTTAATTTTGCCTTTAATGTCAACGATTAAACATTAAAACAAACCATTTCAATATTTATAACTTTATGAGTTTGAAAAAAAATACTCCCTCCTGAAAATACAAGAATAATTTATATGACGTATCATATTTATTTTTGTTTTACTTTATGAGAATCTGTGTATACCGGCCGTAAACACCACGGTGATAATAASGCTTCAGAAAATTTAATGCACAAAATTCTACTAAAAAAAAAATCTACACCGGAAAATTGAATAAGTTAAATCAACCATAACACTGCATAGATAAATAATTTTATAATCGATTAAAACCCCATTAGATGTTATGACCTTTATAAAAATGTCCATTTACGCCATGTATATATATATTACACTATAATAGTAATATACAATATAAAGTATATGCATGTAAATGTTTTTTTTTATAATTAATATGCGACTCCATTCCGTTATGGTTATAGATACCTATACATAYTATAATATCCGAGATATTTACAAAATGACTTGCCGTCGTTGTCGTRGTTTCAGTATTATAAAGATCCATACATTTTATCCACGTGATAATTGCATAGATGATTAAAATTAAAAATACTATATTTAAATTTAATTTATTTTGTTCTCTCTATTCAATTCGTGATGAATAGATTTCTCAGCAGCCTATGCTACTATGCAGCTATGAGGCAACTATTCAACTATGTAGGGCTTCATCATAAATTTTAATACATTTTGAAACAACTAAATGCAATAAAAGTGTAAACAACAATAGACAATAWGATCATTATACAAAAAAATTTCTTTTATGCTTTAATATTACCTATATAATATATATTATGTTATAATAACAGTAAGCAGTTATTATTATTTACATCAATAACTGTTGATAATTATCATTTATCACCTATTATTATTATAATAGACTTTATCCCGTTATGGTTAATACCTATATAATACATTCAGATTGCGTTAACTCGAAGTTGAAAGGATCCGCCAAAACGTTGGAGGTATCTAAGAATAATGCAATAATAATTGCATCGAAAAACTTCGAGGTATTGACGATTTCGAGTTTAAAAAGTGAAACAATTATAATTCTACGCGCTGTTATTGTCATCGCTATCTATATGAAGATCCAAACAGTTAGTAGTCATCAGTTAGTATCAACGCAATAGTCACATCAATGATTAAACAATAGTAAATATTGATTTTGATCTCTCATTTGACTGACAAATCGATCTTTTTTCAGCTGCTTATGCAACTCTACACAGAGCTAAGTCATAAATATTGTAATACATTTTTAAACAATGTGACGAAATTGTATACATCATAATAATATTACCATAATTATAATAAATAAAACACGCATACTTGTAGTCATACATGTTTTTTGGAAATTAATCATATTTTATTTGTCATCCGTGTTCTTTTAAATTTGTTCATATGCTCAGTTTGCAGTGAATTCGGAAGCAACACAAAATATTTTTGTATACATCTAAGTGCATATTAATTATTACTCTTTTTAGTACATATTTTTTTTTTTTTTTCTATTACCGTGAATATTTTTTTATCGACAATTCGTACAATTCTTTAATAATTTCATATTCAGAAAATAGTTTCAGGAAAATGTTGACGTATATTGGTCAAAGTTCCATTTTATTCGTGGATAATTTCAGAGTATATAGCTCACTTTCAATGGTGTATAAATACAACCAACTTATGTTACTCGAAAAATCACTAGCTATAAACATTTTGATTCCTGCTGAAATCAAAACACACGTGTTACTAAATAAAAATAAAATAAAATTATGACTTAAAACAATATAAATTACATTCTTGAGATAAGATTAACTCTKAATAGTCACTGGAAAGGCGATAATATATCTACGGCAAAACCACTAGAGACCTTCGGTAAAACCATAGAGAGCCTATTCTAAAGGTTAAAATGTATTTATCATGTGACTAATCAATACTCTAAAAAAGTGTCTTCAAGCTGCTKATTTTTTAATTGATGTTTATGGATTTCACACGTTCGGGCATTGAAAAAAAAGTGCTCAATGTTGTTGCCGACAACTTTAGATAACTTTACTATCCTATTTTATATTGTTTTCACGATTCGTTTATCTCAAAAGTTTAAGAACCTCAAGAAGGCAGACGAAAACGATATTGGTATTTTGACCATTCTCGGTTAATCTTGGAAAACAATTTTCCCTTCGTAGTTGGCAAACAAACGGTGACGGATGAAGACGATTAGGCGAGCAACCATACAATTAAATATAACGTTATGTGGTGGCTTGTTCAAAACGCGTTTAGTTATACAAGATAATACGTCTTAAAGAAACTGTCATACTCTTATATTCTACACGTTGTACAACGGATTTTCTTTTTTCTCATTTCTAGACGCGTTTCTACAGCAGTACTTTTCTTCTATATTTTTTCCTCGTTCTCACTGCAACAAACCCGTTTCCGTATTTATTCCAGTCGACCGCGTCACGAACCGAACAAGAGTAGATAATAACTGTCCGCCTATACGCCTACGAGCTAGCAATGAATTTTCCAATCCTCACAACGACGTGGTAATATTTATTTGCCTGGATAACTCTGTTTTTTAAATATTTATATGTAAAATCAATGGCTTAATATTACGTATAAATTGGCAATTTCTAACAAACAACTTARTATACCTAAGGTTAATTAATATAATATTTCCGGTTCCCATTGGTAAATAAAAAAATTGTATACGTTTAAACAACCACGTAGATCTGTAATGATAACTATAGTAATTTTTCTAAGTCTGTAAATGTATGAAATCGAAAAATAAAAATAATTGGCTTGGCCGCAAATTTGTCGAAGAAACTCCCTGTATTTATAGCTGTGATAACTACTCGTACAGCAAAGCCTGTATATTATATAGAATACATGTACGCGTTGATATTTTGATAATGTCTAAACATAATATTAATCTGCAGACTTAGGGACAACAGTAAACACAGCATCACAAAATAACGTAGTCATCATCATCCGTTTTTCTAAGGGCATATTAAAATATTTTTATTTTTTTTTTTTGTCAATGGCAATTCCATTTTTTTTTCACCGTTTTGARGCGAGTCCRGAYAAAAAGCGAAAATTACAATCGACTAAACTCACCCGGCTGCAGAAGAATGGTTAAAAAAAACAGGTTGTGATGYGAGATAAGATAGCCCGCCCTCACCCCCTTTAGCACCAAAGAAAATGACCCTGATTATCTCTTATCGACTGTAATTATGTATTGTTGCTCACGAAGCTCGAGTCTTGACGAGAAAAAAATTTTAATACCCTGTCACAAAACCCATAACGTCCGAACTTCCCGAGTTTGTGTAA